ACATGATGTACCGTACATGTATGTACGCACTACGCAGGACCAATAGGCCTTATGCACATTGTACAGATGCACGAAATCCCGTATAATCTTGTAGAATCCCGTAGACCCGGTTGGGTGTTGAATGTGCAGGACCCTATTGTGCTAACTGCTATTTCCACTATGAAATGGGCCATGAAGGCATTTCATACGAAATCTTTTTCCGGCAGAGATCTAGCTAGTCGTTAGTTCAATCCCAAAGTGAAAAAGGCTTGAAAAGTGATCGTTTGCCATGAATTGTGAGGCTAAATGGGTCAAACGCGCATGTATAGCACACAATGAACACCCAACCGGGTATGTACACACCTACGGCCATAGTACAGAACTTCGTACATCTGTACAATGTGCATAAGGACTATACAAGTGTCGACGCCATCCTGCTGCACATGCCAACATAAGTCATTAATAGGATAGGGCTTGAAAGTGATGACGTCAAAAACGGCCTGGGAGTAGTAAATTGACATCAGATTTCTATTTTGGATCCACTAAGGTGTGACTTTGCTATTGCCTCAGTATGTGGGTGCATAGCAACCCACTCATGTCGTATGCAGGTGCAACTTTTACTTCGCCACCAGTTTGTCACCCCGCCCCCACTAGCCAAATCAGTCAGTTTCACTGGCAACATCACCTTGCTGTGAGTGAGACCGCTTGAAATGTGCTTGGATCCATACAAAAACTGGATCCAGGTGGATCCAGTTTTCGAATTTTTCAAATTGTTGCTATGCCATTGCTATGGAGTGACGTAGCACTTTCAAGCCCTATTAGGACACAGTGACACTATCAAAAGTGATGTTCTACGACGTACAGTGACAAATGATGGGCCCATGACATGTCGACACCAACAATAATAGTGTAGGCTACCCATTTTTACTTCATGGGGCGGTGCCATGTCTAGTACTTGAAAACACCATCAAGGGAGTTTTTTTATTTTTTTTATTTTTTTTATACGAAAGTCCACTATATTCCCGAATATGTGCGAGAAGTGGTGGCGGGGCCAGGCTGCTCTGCCGACCTCAAAGGTCTCGGCGTCTACGCAGACAAAGCGCGCCATTAATGCAGTAAAACAATGAAGAGGGGAGGAAGAGGGGAAATGAATAATAGTGAGAAACAAGGACAATGGGTAGATGGTCGTGAGAGAAGTAGAGTGAAAGATAACGTCACATTGTGGTAAGGGGGGGGGGGGAGGATAGTAGAAACTGAGAGGGCAGACTTAAAACTCTGTGTGTGGGGCCTGGTTGGACAATGATGGTACTAATATCTACCATCGTTGCTCGGTGCATGATTAGCTCACTCTTCTCTGTGGCATTTTATTTTTAGTATGATGGCTTAGCCACCATAGGCATAGGCTGCTGAGTTGCACGTACATGCAGTCCAAAGTCAGCACATACAATGTAGTGTGGAGTACAAAGTCATACTACATGTACTACATGTACATATTTGGTAGAACATTGAGTTGCGCTAGACGGGCTGCATTTGAGCATTACGTCAGTGTAGTGTTGGCACTAGACAGGTTGGATATCAGATGAGCAGCGCACAAATTCCCTAGGCACAGGGGAATTGCCAGTCAATTAATATTTTGCAAGTCTGCAACCGGTTAGAGTGCTGGTCGTCTCTGCGTCTATGTCTGTGGGGCATAGTAACTCAGCTTGCCTGTCAATTCTTGTCAGTTCTTGAACCTTTGCCAGGTTGCTGTCAAAAACCTCACCCAAAGCTGCCACAGACTACACAATCATTAGCATCGCCTGATCTTCACTGAACGTTTGGTGCTGTGGCCACGTGGGTGAGTGTGGCCGAGGCAGGTGTCAAACCACCAAATGCATATTATTGAATAGAGTGTGCTTTGAAACCTGGAATCACCTCCTACAATGAAGCATCATACACTCCTGTACATTGACGTGGGACTAAATTATCATGGGAGCTGCTCCCTAACCTACAGAGTACAGTACAAATCCGACAGCACTGTACATTTACCTTTTTCCGACGCCAGTGCGCTTACAAAGAAACCAATGCATGTTGGCTGGTAGCCTCTAGGGATCTACCCAATAGCTAATAGTAATACTAATACCCATAGCACCGAGTATTGTACCAGCTACACTAACTACTGCCAGTACTGGTACAGCTGTATCAGACTTCAGTACATACATGTACATGTAGTGTATGTCGGATTGTCGGACAGTCCCACCGCTGATGTAGTACAGGTGTGATGTTATGATACTGGCGCTGGGAGAACATACGATGGGATGTATCGCGGCACTGCTGCTACCAGATGCCAGCAGTTACACATTTGCCACTAGGCGTTGTATCATGTGATGCCACGTACTAGTATGTCACGGGTTTCAATGAATAATATTCAGATATTTCTCCTGTCCTGGAAACAGTCCGGCACTCTTGCCCAAAGCTGAGTAGTACTGTAATGGACCATCCAACGAGAATGAATAATAATTATACAGTCATGTACATGTACATAGTCATTGTAGACCGAGTTGAGGATGTGATTAAGAATCATCTGAATGAGACGGAGCTTCTATCAGACTATCTGAAGGGTGGCAACACCAAAGAAGAGACCAAGTTTGTGCCACCTCCTTTTCCTCCCCAGACTTTTTTGTTTTTTTTTGTTTTACTAGAGCCACGTAAACCCGTCATGTGTGAGCCATGAATAAGGGGAGTGGTGGCGTGGTCTGGGATGCTCTGCCGACCTTGGGTCTCGGCTTCATCACAACCAGGCGCGCCAATAGCAGAGAGAGAAAGAGAGGGAGAGAGGGAGAGAGAGAGAGAGAGAGAGAGAGAGAGAGAGAGAGAGAGAGAGAGAGAGAGAGAGAGAGAGAGAGAGAGAGAGAGAGAGAGAGAGAGAGAGAGAGAGGAGAGAGAGAGAGAGAGAGAGAGAGAGAGAGAGAGAGAGAAGAGAGGAGAGAGAGGAGAGAGAGGAGAGAGAGGAGAGAGAGGAGAGAGAGGAGAGAGAGGAGAGAGAGGAGAGAGGAGAGAGGGAGAGGAGAGAGGAGAGAGGAGAGAGGAGAGAGGAGAGAGAGAGAGAGAAGAGAGAGAGAGAGAGAGAGAGAGAGAGAGAGAGAGAGAGAGAGAGAGAGAGAGAGAGAGAGAGAGAGAGAGAGAGAGAGAGAGAGAGAGAGAGAGAGAGAGAGAGAGAGAGAGAGAGAGAGAGAGAGAGAGAGAGAGAGAGAGAGAGAGAGAGAGAGAAGAGAGAGGGAGGAGAGAGAGAGAGAGAGAGAGAGAGAGGGGGGGAGAGAGAGAGAACCTGGTAGTACTAGTACTGGCTCCGAGGCTGTCCACTGACTGGACCTTCCAAGTTCCAGCTTGGAAGGACTTGTAGGTTCAAGGTTATGGAACCTTCCAAGCTGGAAGGCTATTGGTTTGCGCACTGGAGATGTGTTAGAGCTACATAATGTCATTGTAGGTCTCAGGTCATTGAATGTCTCAGTAGCCTGTTAGTTTTGTGCCCTGTTGACTGTTGTCGCACTTTCTGACTGCTTATTATGATAATATCTTGTTACGGTCGTGGATAGTTGCTTCTCGTTTCGATGTGATTTCTTCTTTTTTAAATCGACGTAAGTCCGACATTTAATTTAGTCCAAAACTTGCAAAAGCTCCTTGACCTTGGACGAAAAAGACGAAACGAAATTCCAGACGAATACTAGTATTATAATACCTTTTAAAACCAGTACATGTTTGGCCGGTATGTATCCGAACTTCGGAAGTCATCTTTTTTTACGATTATGTACTGTCACTGCACAACATGTACAGCATACAGTAGTGCCTCTTGTATGGGCAAAACAAAAACTGCACTACATGTACTCGTAGTAAACTACATAAAAGCAGAAATTTTCGGTGGGGTTTTATTTTCGGTAACTTCGGTGCCGAAATTTTTACCGAAAATAAAACGCACCGAAATTGTCCGTATAGTACTAGTACACTTACCTGGAACGCGGGTTTACCGAAAATTTCCCTCCGCCGAACCACCGATTTTGGAGAATACCGAAAATATTACACCACCGAAAATTTCTGCTTTTACAGTACTTGTAACTAGTACTATAATTACTATAAAGAAAGATTGCTATAAAGAAAGAGGGTCCGAACCTGGGTTTTCCCAATACGGTTCAAATGGTCGCGAGACCGCGACTCTGCCAACCGGGTTATGGTTGTAGTCAGGAGCACTATGCGTCCTCGGCCTCGCCTTGTATGTAACATGCTGTCAAAATCGAAAAAACAATCGCGTAGTGCACTCTCCTCCGGAACGCAGTTCGGGTGCCGAGTGCATTGGCGGTACGCGGTGGGCACTGGGCAGTCTGCATCTACCGGTAGTAGTAGTGAGCAGTCAGCACTACTCATTGATGTCAGTGATGAGCGGAATGTTTTGCCGATTATCTACATCTCTTATCAAAATGTGTTAGCCCTCAACACTGATTGTGATGATCCCGCAGAGCAGCAATGATTGTGATCGGGACAAGGCCTGTTCGAAGCGATCCCAGTAGTATGCTATCCGGAATGCTAGTCTTTTTCCACCGTGCAGTACTGTGAAAACATTCCTATCATTCTCTACAATGTAGCCTTGTGTAGGTCGGTCACAGTGGTCACCCCAAAAGCGTGGAAAAACAGTACAACAACGATTACGAGAACGACAACAACAAGAACAACACTGTCTTCTACTAGCTAGCTACTGAGTCTGACCGGTACTGATGTACATAATCTACATGAATC